TAACCGAAGTTCTGTAGTTGAAATCATCTGTATTAATGCCGTGATATTGTCGGGGAAAATTCTTGAAAAGAAGCCAAAAATAAAAGTAACTTTAATGCTAACAGATTAAAATGATCATTCCTGCCATTGTGAAGCAAATGAAAAATAAAACAACAAATTAAACCAAAAGGAGAAAATATGAAAAAAAAAGAAGAGAAAAGTCAACTGAAATCCAAAGAAGTGTCTATAATGTAATCAATCCTGACCTGGACTTCAGTCACTTTCGCACCGACGTGACGTAGCTTCCCTCTGTCTTTTCTACAAATATTTTTAAAGCAACTTTTCTGATCGGCTTTTCTTCCTAGTACTCTGACTACATAAATTTAATCATTCCACTAGATTGGCAACTAGGTCTCACCATTTAACTGTTGAAATAACTAGATGTAATCACCACTTCTACTTTAAGAGTTTCATTTCTCACACTTCTTACGTGTGGAACTCCCTTCCAATTTCTTGCTTCTCTGATAATTATAATCTTCAAAAATTTAAATGCAACATCAATCACCATCTTCTGTCTTGAATCGTGTTCCTTTTTTTTGTCTTTTTCTCAATCATCCTCACTAAAGAATTCTCATTCTTTTTCACTGCAAATCTCTATATTCTAGTGGCATTATCGCCTTGCTTGGAGTGAAAAAAATGAATAGAAAAATAAATTTCAAATAAAGGTTTGAAAGTTTTGATTAAAGTCAATATGTCTTCGAAATTATAAATAATACAGTTCAAAAATCAGTAATTATATTGGAAGACATATCTGATTATAAATATGGCCGATTTAACGTATGATAAAATAATGATGCCTCTAAATTCTATTTTTGAAACATTAGAAATCAGCTTCAGATTCAAAGTAGTATTTTCAAATTCTGTTTGTCTTGTCAAATTAATAATTAATGAGACGTTTTACTTTTGACTTGTAAACTAAATACTGATTTCACTTTTGGGCAATGTTTACAATTTAGAAGATAGAACACAATGCCTCGGCGTCTGAAAGTATTTATCTGGTGTTGAGTTAGTGATGTTCATTATTATACTTTCGACCATGTAGCCATTATTATCTCATTATTCTTTCCTTCCTGTCTTCTTTATTTTCTTTCACTCTGCTTTCAGTTATAATTCTTTGTATGCTTCTTTTTATAAAACACCATCTTCCATCTTTTTTTTCTTTTCATTTATTTCAGTGTCTCTCTCTTTCTTTCTTTGTTGCATTTATTTCAAGGTCTCTCTCTCCCTTTCGTTTTTATTTCATTGTTTCGTGTATTTTATTCTTTCTTGCATTCTTTCGTTTCTTCTTTTTTTTATTTTCTTTCTTTCCTTTTTCTTTCTTACATTTTCTTTTTTTCCTTCCTTTTTCGCTTATTGCATTGTTCCTCTCTTTCCGTTATTTCATTCATTCAGTCTTTCTTTCTTTGTCTTTCTTTCGTTTATTTGATTGCTCCTCTTTCTTTCTTCAAAACTTCACGAAAACTTTTCCGTATTTTTAGAGAATTTTTTTCAGGTGAAAACGTTAATTAAAATCATTTATTTCCAGACGATACTAATCGAAATCTTATCCAAAGAAATCGATTAGTGGCATCTCAGCTTCTCTGACTTCCATTTTGATAAATGGCCTTTACAGAATTTGTTTTGTTAAAGTAATGCACACACACACAGTGTATGTCTGTGTGTGCGTGTGTGCATGTATACACGTTTGCATATTTATTTGTTTATTTGTCTATATTCAAGTATCTCTAGCTAAATACATTAAATGAGTGATTTCATGAATTTCTAGAAACTTTTCACGCACCTGGAAGCTTTGAACAAATGAATGATTGAATGATTGACTACCAATAAAAGCTGTCTTGGAAGTGAGGGTTGTCTTTTGTAAACAAACAGATTATCATGAATTTCGAAATTATATGACAGTATTCGATAAAAGTAATAAATAAATGGTAAGCTTTCGATATTTATAGTTAAGTAGTGATCAAAGTAAACATCATTCTGATCTATCACGAAATAAACATCCAATAAACCTATCATATATTTTTCATTTCACACCAAGTAAGGCAATAAGGTCGCTAAGATGCAAGGAGTTACTGAGTGTGAGAGAATATGAGAAAAAAAAACTATTAAGCAGGGGGAAAATAAAGGAACAGGAATTAAGAAGACAAAAGATAACGATTGGTATTGCATTTAATTTTTTGAAGATCAAAGTTAATTGGAAAGCAAGAAGCCGGAAGAAACGAGAAAGGAGAGAGAAGACACTGTTAGCATAGAACTTACGGTTACATCTAGCCATTTCAATTGTAAAATGATGAGACGTTGGCACTAATCTATGACTGCACTTAAATTCATGAAGTCTGGGTATCATAGGGGAATTGTTCATCAGAATTATTACCATGAACGTATCTATAGAAAAGGCACAGGGAAGCGATAGGAAAGAGAGTGAAGTCGAAATACCAGGTTAGGACCAATAATATTATAGATTAGTCTTTGGGTTTTTCCTTGTTATCTATCTATATACCTATCCCAGTCTGTTCATGATCGATGTCATTTTGTTCATATCCACACATCTCTCACACTATAACCTTGTTCATCTCCTTCACTCTATAGCTATCAAGCTCTGTAACTATGTTCAGGGTTCGTATGAGCTCTTCACGATAGCACCTAGACTTTTTAAAAAAAAATTTAAGCGCAGTGCTAGACTGGCGTCAAGATCTTGTCAATTTACAGTTGAGCTGTTTAGATGTAACCGTAAATTCTATGCTAACAGTTCGATCCTCACTGGATGCCCACATTATCGGCCTTGTGCCTCATCTAAATTACGTTTAGAAAATCTCCATATTTATCTGTTTGTTCATGTCTATCATCATAAATATCTTCCAATAGTCGATCATATCTATATTTATAAATAAAATATCTATCTATCTATCTATCTATCTATCTATCTATCTATCTATCTATCTATTATATGTATCTATCTATCTATCTATCTATCTATATATATATTATATGTATATATATTTATATAGATGATCATATATATTTATCTATGATCATATCTATATATGATCATATCTATATATGATCATATCTGTCTATCTATGATCATATTTATCTATGATCATATCTTTCTATCTATGATCATATCTTTCTATCTATGATCATATCTATTTCTGATCATATGTATCTATATATGATCATATCTACCTACGATCATATATATCTTTATAACCATAACTATCTATCTATCTATCTATCTATCTATGTTCTCATATAACTCATCAGTCGAACAATCGATCGTGAATGAAGCAGAATCAGGTGCATTAATTAATACCAAAAGGTAGAAAGCATATTACATGAGAAAATACATTTTTTGTATAGGCATATGCCTCTGAAGTACATTAAAGCAACTATCAGAAGACACACACGTACTGTCACACAAATGTGCTCTCACTCTGTTTATAGCAGCTATAGTTACTGCTTGAAAGTTAATTAAACACATACGTAACAAAGAATAAATGTTACAGTAAACATAAAATTCTCTGTCTCGTAATTGTGATATAAATTGCTTGAATTAAAAAAAAACGATACGTTTGAGGCTGATGTGGTTAAGTGATTCGCTGGAATGGCCTCCGTTAAAAATACAAAAAGAAAAGAAAACTATATTGAACTACATCTAAATATTACATGCAAATGAATCCAGTAAATGCCACGTATGATATCAACGTTACATTTATTAAAGGAAAAAGGTGAGAGAATTAAAAAAATAATAATAATAAAATAAAACAAACGTAAACTTTCTTAGGAAAGTGAATAATTATCCTGTGAACGAAATTGCCAACGAGAACGTTGGAGAGGAAATGCATTGTAATTTACCACAAATGAAAAGTTAATTGCTACCATCACTTTTTGCCCAGAAGAAAGAATCTCATGGAAGTTACATGTTTCGTTTGGGCTTTAAAAATCATTTTGCAAGGCGAAAAAGTCACTAAGACGCAAGCTGTTACCGAGTGTTAGAGAATGACAAAAACATTTTAAGGAGAGAGAATCTTAAAAGAATAGGAATGAAGAAGACAAGATAACGATTGACATTAAATTAAAATTTTTGAAAATCAAAGTTGTCTGGAAAACAATAAGCCGGAAGAGAATTTCACATGCGAGAAGTGTAATGGTATCAACTGTTAGCACAGAGCATCCGGTTACATCTAGCAGCCATTTCAACTGTAAAATGATGAGACCTTGCCGCCAATCTAGTATTGCACTTAAATTCGTAAAGTCTAGATACCATAGAGGAAAGCTCATTCTAACCTATTTAGAGATATATCAGGTGACCTAGTGAGCAAACGGCTCCTTCTGATTGGCTAATTTGTTATTTTCATTCTCATTAAAATGCTCTGCACCTATGAAAGTTTCTACAAACTTTAAAAAAACTTTCAGATCTATAATATTCAGTATTTAGAAAAAATATGACAAACTGAAAAGTTTTTTTTTTTTGTGACGCGTTTCATCCATTAGGATTTCATCGGACTGGACTTTATTGACGTTGTCACGTCTACACATGCGCACGAAACGAGGATATCTTTTGTCATTGTTGCCACGTCTATACATGCGCACGAAACGAGATTCGAAGGTTACTTCAAAATGTTTGAAAGAAATATATTTGAAAGAATGTTTTTTCTTAATCTATCCTAATTCATTTGTATTATTTTTCTTTTTCCCTCCATCATTTTTGTCCCTGACTATCGTACCCTGTGACAATATAAAATCTACCAAGAATGGTGATAAGAGTCGGGACGAAGATTTATCGTAGCTGAACTAGCGATCAAGACATTTTCGTCTCAGTGGATTATTTTCTCTTTTGATCAAAGTAACATTCACTATGTCAAAATTGGGGTCCGTTTTGTTACGGTAAACAACCAATGCGTTTTGTGTGTTATTATTTAAAATGTTCCTTTTGTGTTTATATATAATAAATAATATTTAATTACGGCCGTATCACGTTGAAACACCGGTTCTCTTACGATCACTGAAGTTAAGCGACATCGAGCCTGATCAGTACCTAGATGGGTGACCCCTTGGGAATATAAGGTACTGTAAGCTTGGATGCACCGATGGTATAATAGTTAATTGTTGTGGAGTGATTTCGCAGTAGAGGCTTATATTTGTACTAAGTCGGTCCTAAAATAGGTTCGACGTACAAAACGTTAGGAACTTGATATAATAGGTATAACGCAGAGTAATCTAGTTGTGGTCGCTGATACTTTCGTATTCGACTAACTGTCGTCCGACATCGACTGTCTGACTGACTCGTTACTCTTACTACTCCTACTTATTATAGGTGGGAGAGTCTATTAACTATAGAATAGGTGTGTTCCACTATAGCAATAATACTTCGGAATTGGAATTAAGTCGGGTTCGTTATTAACTTACGATCAAATACCATTGCGACGGGTATAGACCTACCTTTCCTAGCAGTTAATTAGAAGGATTTGTATCAGTAAATCATTATTATCTTCAAAAAATTCTTACAATCTAAAAAAAAAAATCTGGCATTAAATAACACACAAAAGGTTGATAAGCCGTAAAAAAATCAATCAATCAATCAATCATAAAGCAACAAGGAGGAAGATGTGTTTTGGCAATAAAACGATATACATACTTTTTAAAAAGGTAACTGAACTCAACAACCGCCGTCAGAATTTGAACCCAGTACATTGACCACTTTTTCTGCGCCGATAACTGCTACACTACGTGCAAATCAAGTGTAAAAAAACGAGATACTATTCAATAACATGTGCAAACATCACAGGTAAACCTCGCAAACAGACATCACAAAGATTGAAGGAACAGAGTTCGTAAAATTCGTTAATTAGACGAAAAGTGTTGGCCGTATGTAAGACGGCGCTGAGAAGAAGTATGACGCCCTTGTTAAAATTACTGATTACAGTGGGGAAAAGATGTCCACTCTTTAAAATTTCTATCAGGTAACCTGCGTCCAATCACAGAAGAAATATTTATAGATATTAAAAGAATTTGGAGAGTCCATGCCGGCTTTAATTTGGACAGTTTTTCGGCCATGAAGAGGATCAACACCTTATTAGGAAGGTGGTTACAATGTTTTGACCTATCTATCTATCTATCTATCTATCTATCTATACTGGATAGATAGCCAATAGAGAAATATGACGTGGACAGTTTGACGTAAGGTATATCTTATTCTACGTGGGGAAGAAATCACTATAGAATATTAATGAGAGTTCACTGCAGGAATTTACGGTGGCTGTGTCCTTGGTCCAAGTTTAGTTCACTGAAAGATATCACACACACAGAGACAGACAGAAATTTTGGACCTCACATTCCTTAGGTATAAAGTATGGAGATAATATGTGTGTTAAATCATTTATTTGATCAAGATTTTGTCAAATATGTGACAGATAAATTTATATATATATATATATATATATATATATATATATATATATATATATATATATATATATATATATATATATATATATATATATATATATATATATATATATATATAGTGCGTGTTAGGATACGAAACAGCAGATATGTATATTTTCATAATCAGGGAAAAAGATAGTGTGCAAAAGCACTACTCAGGTTTTGTTTAATCAGGAAACCTCTACGTGGCTGCGAGTCGCGAGTTCGAATCCTGCTGGATGGTGCATATTTTTCTAATAAAATTTCTCGAATATTCAGGCAAGTAGATGTAAAAATAAAAATATACTGTATAATAAATAAATAGAAACAAAGCATACTTTCGTGTCTGTGTGCATATATATATATATATATATATATATATATATATATATGTATATTGTGTGTATTTAGGCAGCATCTTTTCATTCGTGAAGTATTATACATCAAACAGTTGAAACCCAACCTAAACAAAATCAATTATGGCATCTCTACAAATATTCTTAAGTGTCTATAATTGGTAACAGAAGCCATTGGTTTATACCAACGGCTTGCCATACTTCATTCTCCAATTCACTCTCGTGTGGTCATGTGTGACGTCATAAGATGCGGTGCGATTTTCGCTTCTAGCGTCTTATATGCGCGTGTTTATCGTTGCTTAGAAATCATCTATGTAAACAATGAGAGACTATCATCACTGTCGTGTCCGTATATTGTTTATTATGTTGTAATTGACATATTTGATAATGGCTTATGTAAGCCGAAAGCTTAGATTATTATTAAAAATATGGATCAATATTGTGAATTTCTTTCTTCGTTCAACGATAATATTATTAAACTTATCAGACGTTACGAAAAAATTTTACATATAATAAATAGACAACACTTGTCTATATTATTTAATGAAACGTGCATATATATAAAATTCCACTGTTAAAGTTATCGAAGCCTATTACGAAAATGGACGTTCAAGCAGAAACGAATTTCGCGCACTTCGCGATTTTTTGGGTCAACCTAATCCACCCACCGAGAGTGCAATTGGATACGATATAACGTTGTTGTGGAAAAGTTCAATTCCTGCGCGCGATGACGAATAGAGGTGTCTGGATGTTCGGCTACATTCTCCTGCACTGCAGCAATGTTTTCAGCTGAATGGCGAAAACGAGCGCGCAATGTTTTTTTTCACATCTGCCACCGACCCAGTTTGTTTGAATTTACAAACAATTTTTCCAATTGCACTCTTAAAACTTTAACACGTTGTTTGATTGTTAATCTTTCCACGGTTGAAATTGCCAAAGACAAATTGTTAAACCTGAAAGAAAAAGAATAAAAAAAGTAAATCATTAGACGCTTAAACTTAATTCACATTTAAAATCGGTCCAAGTTATTGGAACACACTTTACATATTTAGACATTCTATACACCTAACCAACCATAATTAATACCCTAAAAATAGAAAAGCATAACTTTACCATTTAAACACTAGTTTATTAACAACAAAGCAAAGACACAAATGTACATGTGCTTGTGTACGCGCGTTTGTATGTGTATATGTATGTGCACGTGTGTATATCGATATACGTACATGAACCTATGTGCGCGTGTGCGTATGCGTGTACGTAAGCGTATGACTCCAGGCATATGCATATAGATTCAAACGATAATAAATAAAAATTTAATTATAAACCTAACCTCCAACAATTATTACCTGAAGTACCACCAAACCAAATAAGAAAACGAAATAAGCAGCAAGTGAATACATATAAAAAATATTTATCATTTAGGCATTAATATCAATTATTTATGTAAAAAAAAGAAATAGGATTTTCACAACTCAAGAAAAGACGAGAACGTTCAAAAATTTAAAAAAAAGATAACTTCTAGAGAGAAAAAATAACGGAAATAAATAGAAACAAAAAGCTACAACTGAAAGAAAAGATGAAAAGGAAAAAAATAGAGAAAAAGAGGGGAAAAAAACTCCCCAAAAACCGAAGAAATGGACAAATAATCGCGACATCATACACAGACGCACCTCCATACAGACGGGCTGAAGGCCGAACCCGCGCAAACGCACAGAAGCAATACGGGAAAAAAACCCCAAAAACTTGGTCCAATGTTAAGTGCATAAAAAGAAAAAAAAATTGAGAAATATAAGCAGTAAATTGCTGATAACCCCAGAAGAGTGGGCAGACAGCTCCGTCTACGAAACTCTGGAGTCGGGATGCTGAAATTAACATCAACCAGCTAAGTGACAAACTTATATCTATATTATTTCTCTTTCTTTCTTTCTTTCTTTGTCCATCTCTCTCTGTATATATATATATATATATATATATATATATATATATATATATATATATATATGTGTGTGTGTGTGTGTGGTAAATTTTGAACGAGAATTCAGTGTAATAGCAAATATATAAGACAATTTGAAAAAAAAAATCTATGTTGGCATGACGCCGATTCATCGACGAAACATCGAAATAGAATTTCTACCTGATTTTCTGGGATAAAGAATTATCATTATTTATACTGTTTACATTCGGACTATTGTCCTTATCTTTGTTGTTGCTATTACAACGTTTCGGTCATTGCCTTCTCCGTCGTTCATCAGGTGTATATCGCTCTGGTTAATCTACAGGGAAGTCTGGAGTAAACATCTTATTTAATCTACGGGATCGACTGTTCTCGTTCCAATACTAAAAACTGAGGTAGATGGGATATCCCTAGACATGAGCAGAGGTTCGAGAACTATGTACACCTTTAGATTAAATAAAGGGTTCACTTCATACTTTCTTGTAGGCTAACCAGATTGACCAACACTTGATAAAGACCTGGAGAGGGCAACGGCTGAAACATTGTGATAACAACAAATATGAAGACAGTAGTCCAAATGTAAATAAACAATATGGAAGTTTTTTACAAATTGTTTTACACACACACACACACACACACACACACACACACACACACACACACACACACACACCTCACCCCCCTCTCTCCTCTCTGTATATATATATATATATATATATATATATATATATATATATAATGCAGTGAGTGCTGGTAGCAACAAGACTGCTCGGGGTAAAATAACATTAAGATTTATACTACCAATATATATATATATATATATATATATATATATATATATATATATGTATGTATGTATGTATATAAATATATATATACATATATACATATATATATATATATATATATATACATACATATATATATATATATATATACATATATATATATATATATATATATATACATATGTTATATATATATATATATATATATATATATATATATATATATAATGCAGTGAGTGCTGGTAGCAACAAGACTGCTCGGGGTAAAATAACAGTTAAGATTTATACTACCAATATATATATATATATATATATATATATATATATATATATATATATATAAATATATATATATATATATATATATACATAAATATATATATATATATATATATATATATATATATATATATATATATATATATATATATACATAT